GTGATTTTAGGTGATTTTTAACTACTTGATCGTGATTTTTGGGGGCGACGGAGGCGGGGCGAGTAGTTTAGGAGAGGTGTGCGCACCCCTCTAGATATGCCACTGTTTCGGAGGTTTTTTTAAATAAATTGAAATTAAATTAATTTAAAAGAGAGATTGTAATATCTAAACACATGATAATGAACAATGAACAAGGTGCCTTCAGAATAAGCCAGATCCACTGTTTATTGCCATTATTGACAAAAGGAAACATCAAGACATCATCTCCATTATCATAAAATGTGACGTAGATGACTGAATTAAAGTCTGGGTCATAGTACCATGTGCATTTGAAGTGTACACACTTCTGATTGTATTAATATATTGTAATTGGTTCTTTAATATATAGACTAAAGAGTATAAGGGGGGGGGGTAGATAGGGTCAGAGTTTTATGAATACTCTTTTAGAAAAAAAAAATAAGGCATGTTCGGATATGATTATGCAGAAAAGAGGTACTTTTCTGGTACCACCAATTCGTCGGCTATCATGTGTTTAACTGTCTAGAAACGGATTTTATTCTTACCATATGTCCCATACACCCAAAATGGTTTGATCCATAAAGCGCAATTTTATTACCAGCTACAGGGTTTCAAATTCACCATGACGGATTACCAAATTGAAGGGACACATTATTTTAGTCTCAAAAGGTCAAATTTGATGAATTTATGATTATATTTAGTTTTTAATTTAACAATTATGAGAGACCAGACATACCGTAAATGCTCGAATAAAGCGCCGCTCTCGAATGAGCGCCGTTCTCCAATAAGCGCCGCACCAAACCTGATTTTTTTAAGTGGCGCTCTCAAATAAGTGCCATGGTGCTTAATCAAGAGTATATATTACCCTGTCTGTAATGAAAAACTGTGTGAGAAACAGGGTTTTAAATACGATGTACATTACGGTGTTAAAATGAATAGGCCCAAGTTGTAACCGTCGTGGGCTTATTCGAGCATTTACGGTACATTTCTTTTGGTGGTGTAGTTATTTTTTGTATTACTTAATATTTTACGAATTTCAAAGAATTCTATGAACCTCTCCATAAGATTGGTTGCCCTCCAAAACTCTGAGGCATGTCGATTTCATTTCATGCCGACATGAAAGGAACTGTCCTGTACGATGGATCTTCTTCACAACCTTTTCCAATCAACTGTGGTGTAAAGCAGGGCTGCGTCTTCAGGCCCGTAGCCAGCAAGCTTCAATGGGGGGTTCTGGGCGTGGGGTCCAGGGGCCCGCCAAAGGGCCCCAGTGGGGGTCAAGGGCAAAGCCCCTGTGGGGGCTGGGGAAGAAGCCCCCGAAGCCAGAGCATTTATACGATTTTAAAAGCATGTACATGTCATTTAAATGCATGTTCATGTATATTTAAATACTTCTTACACAATTTTAAAAATAAGATAAGAAGACTACTTTTTCCAATACAGGATTTAGAACGTAAATGTTGTGAAACAAACTTTTTTTTTATTAAAAAGCAATGCTTAACATTTTAATGCTACTATGTAATGTTATCTCTAAAAATATAACTGAGATAAAATTAGCAATACCCACTAGGTGACTGTACTAAACACAGACCTTGCAAATTATGAGATCGCTAAATACCAATATATTAAAATATGGAGGTATGTAAAAGGTCTTTGCTTAAAAGAGAAATATTGCAAATAATATCTTATTTATTGCAGAAATGAAGAAACAATAGGAACTGACAGCCCTACATTTTACTTTTTTACCAAAATAACTTAAATGTTAAGTTCGAATGAATATAAGGACAAGAATGCAAGCAAGGGATGTTTATTGTTTCTTTGAATTTGCACAATACAGTACATAGGAGGGCGGAGTTGTTCATTTCAGCTTTTTAAATAAACAAATAGCTTATTTAATCAATGGAAGCTTCTATCCTACCGTGATACTAGCCTATGCCTAGCCTTAGCCTAGATCCCAGTAGAGCAGTACTTTAGGCTATTACAAAACAGTCCGAGACTCATTAAGAGGGCATGTTTACTGATCAATCAATAATACAACTGAACTGATTGTAAGCCTAGCCTATAAAAAGAGACAAATAATGTCAGTTAATTCTGACGAAACGTAAAACATTACCAAGTATTATTTCCTTGCTAGCCTAGGCCTTGGCCTATGCTAGCTCGATTTTTTCGAATTTTCTTCGTTGCTGGCCTTGAAGCAAAAAATCGGTTATCCTTTCTCGGCGCTTCATCCTAGGCTATTTTTGGCGTGTCGCATGTCCTCGATCCCAGAGAAATGAAAAATGTCGCGAGCGCCCAAACTTTTGGGATGACGTCGTGCCAAAGTAAATAAACTCCGGCGCATGCAATTGGTCAAATAGCCTAGGCAACAAACCTCTCATTAATATTCATTTTGAAGTCTTGCTGGTTACGTCATTCAGCTGGCTGCAGCTTTGTTTTGATTTCTACGATTGGACTACGATCGATAGCGACAAATAAACAGTGCCAA